ACACACACACACACACACATACACATTTCTTTGCCTTGGCACACCTACTTTCATTCCTGCCTAAAACAACCACCTACTTGTACCAACATACACTACATATGTGTATGTATGTAGTGTATGTGCGCATCTATCTGGCCACACCAACTACCTTTGCATAGGCTTGTGTCCTCATTCGCAGCTGATTGCATAAATTGGCGAGGATGATTGCAATCAGAGCGATAGACGATCTAATCTAGTTTGGTGTGATTAGAGAGGACATTCCGTCCGTTCTCGGAGTTGTCGGCGTGTCGTTCGGCTGAGGGGAGGGGGTGTCGTGTGTCGTCATGGGCATTGGCCGAGGCGGCAATCTGAGGCTGGCGTGAATGTGTACAGCTCCAGATGTCGCTTTCGCATGTCGTCGCGGACAGTCGACTGTTAGTAGATGGCCAGGAAAAGCCGGTTGTCAAGGCGAGGCTTGACGAGTTGGTGTGAGTCAACTAGTCACTTGGAGCGAGGAGTCAGTCGAGAAGGAGTCGAGGCTATGGGCGGACGGGAAACCGCGCGGCAGTGCACTCTCGGCTCAGCCTACATGCTCGAGGTGTGCAAAGGGAATGGATGTGTTTGCAAATGTTTGCATGCATGTTGGCGTGACCTCAACTGGGAGGAATGAGTGCAGCAGAAAGAGCCTGAACCATTTGTGGCCGTCGAATGGAATTAAGGAGACAGAATGAGAGAGTGAGCTGCAAGAACCGGTGGGCAAGAGAACGAGGCTGCAGTTTGGTTGGGGCAATCACACCTCGCAGGACATGAGCATTTCATACACGTCGTGTACACTTCAACATATGAAAAGATGCGTCATTAAAACTGAATCACATGCGGGTCGTTTTGGACGCAGAAACAGTTGCTGCCGTCGCTAATCAACTTTGCGGATAGGCATGAAGCAATGGTTGATGTTATTCCCATTTCGAGTGAAAGTGTTTGGTGAAGACATTCCAATTTCTGCTCCGCCAGAAGACGACGGCGGATCCCTGTTGACCAGCTGGCGATTGGCTTTACTTGAACATTCATGTTTTGAGCCAATATGCTTCGATTCCGGCCAAAAAGTGCTAAGCTCTCATCCGTCACATGACCAACATCATCAGAGCATCGTCGCAAGCAAATTCAAGCTGACGAGTCAAGAAAACTCACCGACAAATCCCTAAAATGTGCAATCTACACTCTACATCTGGCCTCTTCTCATCAAGTGTAAAGTGATTCGGTTAGCTCCAGTCACATGTCAATCCCGAAGCGTGTGAATGTGTCCG